ATAACACAGAGTCTGTTTGGACAGAAGGTCCTTGGAGGTATAACACAGAGTCTGTTTGGACAGAAGGCCCTGACAGGTATAACACAGAGTCTGTTTGGACAGAAGGCCCTTTATAAATAACACAGAGCCTGTTTGGACAGAATGCCCTGACAGGTATAACACAGTGTCTGTTTGTACAGAAGGCCCTGACAGGTATAACACAGAGTCTGTTTGGACAGAAGGCCGTTGGAGGTCTGCTGTAAATTTTCACCGACATAAAATTCTAATGAAGTAAGTCTATCGTGGTTTGTGATTGGTTTTACTACTGAATCTTAAATACAGCTCAAAGCATTGTCAGTCGGCGTTCGTTTTGTTTACTGCATTGTTTGCATGTTTATAAATAATTCTGTTAACAACAATTCCTCCCGACAAAAATAAAAATTAAAAAAAATGATCAAATGAATATTCTGTATAACAACCATGATTGTGCTATATATTCAGAAACATTATATATACACACACACATACCACTCATGCTTACATAATTGATTAAAAAAGATAAAAAACAATTTTCTCGATTCAAGACGGAAAACTATTAGAAATTCAAACATTTGTTTGTAATGCAAATATCACTATTTCATGATCCTGTGTATAATTTACTGTTTGCAATATTGATCAATAAGCTGACAGTTCTATCGACAACTGCGTCTCGGTAACCACGACCCAATAACACTACTGCAAAATATTTAAATCCCCGCGACGTTAAAGTCAGTTTCCTGTTAAAATCACACATAACACAGCTTTATACTGGCTGTAAATCTCAATGTCGGTCCTACACAACTTGGTGTCACAAAAGTCACCGTGCTTGTAATCGAAGTGATACACAAGAGTTTCCACACTAGAAATGATTCACTTCGGTAATCTGGCCTCTTAAACCACATAACTTCTATATTCTGAAGTAGACTTTATAAAGCATAACACACTCGTTATTGATAATAATTATCGTGTTTTTACGATTTCTTGGTAAGTAAACTTATCTCCAATGAATCCTCTCCTAAGAAGTTCATTCTAACGGGGCATGATAATTTTTAAATAATTTTACAATGGACACACAAATGAATAGCACCTTTCAGATACAAATTTAGACTGATACAGGAGAACCAAATAAGGAAATGAAATATATGACCATCTAGAAGGAATTCTAAATTGATGAAAGACAATGGAGACCGCGAAACCAAAGTCGTTATAAAATTAGACTGATAGAGCTCACTAGATAACGTTGGTGTCTGGTGTTATATAACAGTGTCCATTAATCTATGTAAGGGTTATATCTATATCATGTTAAATATATCTCTGTGTCCGTAATATCTATGTTTTACTTACATGTACTCGGGATACACGGTCAGATCGCCCCGAAAATTGGACTTCTCTCTTTTCTCTTTTATATCTATTATTAGTACCCCCCCCCCCCTCCTTATTTCGGGTCGATATGCAGTGCCTTATTGTACCGTCATTATAATTTATCATACACATTATGTATATACAGTGATACCTATATCAATTTGTTTGTTTGGAATCAGCTGATTAACTTGAATCTATCCCGTAACATTTAGCAGTGGGAAATGACACAGAATATCACAGGCCATAATGATATACAGCACGTGGCGGGAAACACGTCCCAATGGTTAATGCCATCTACTCAATCTTCATTGCACGAGTAGAAAGTGTTATACGTAAATTTCTCAGAAATAAACGGGACGAATTTGATGTTTTTAAGTTTGCTGACGATATGACATGTTCTATATTGTGTTGACGCCACGATATAAATGTATGTTGACGCTGTGACATATTAGTCAAGAAATGTTGACGCTATGAAATGTCAATTTTGTTGTGCTGACGCTATGAAACATTGATCATGTTGTGTTGACGCTTTGACACTATAATCCTGTTGCGGGGACAACAAGGAATATTTACCCTGGTTTACAAACAGTGTGATGGTTGTTATGACGCTGATATCAGTAAAAACTGGATATTTTAGATATTTTTTGTTTGAATTCATTTGCCGCTTTTAATTGTAAGTTGTAAGTTAATAAATATATCTATATATATATCATACATAGTGATGTAGGCGATCGTTATTCATCATGCCTCTAAAAGTACATTTTGCGTCAATAAGGTCGGTCACTGAATAAATTTTCAATTGAAATGGAAGACCAGAAACGAATGGAAAACACAATACACCAACACAATCCTATTACCAACAAAAACATGCTTCGTTTGTAGACACAAAGAGAACATGTATTATGTATAACATATTGTGTGTTGTTGTAAGGCAGGGCTCTCTCAGGGAAAACACCGACATCTCGCGATTAAATATTTACATGTTTCAAACAAAATTGACACTAATTTCTATATTTGGAATATCTTTTGTTTGTATCCATGACAATAAATTAAAAAAAAATTGAATTTATGTAACATGTGTCATTCACAGTAAATTGTTATAAAAATAGCATGTCAAAAATGTTAGTAACACCGTACATCTGATATGACAAGGTGTATACAATGTACGCATCTTACATTCACAGTAAAATATCTTACATTCACAGTAAGATATCTTATATTCACAGTAAAATAGCATCTTAATTCCCAGTAAAATACATTCTTAATTCACAGTAAAATATCTTACATTCACAGTAAAATATCTTATATTCACAGTAAAATAGCATCTTAATTCACAGTAAAATATCAGTAAAAAAATATCTTATATTCACAGTAAAATAACATCTTAATTCACAGTAAAATAACATCTTAATTCACAGTAAAATATCTTATATTCACAGTAAAATAACATCTTAATTCACAGTAAAATATCTTACATTCACAGTAAAATATCTTATATTCACAGTAAAATATCTTATATTCACAGTAAATTGTCCTCGTACAATCACGTGAAAAATACCATCTTACATTCACGTGTAAAGGATGAGTTTTACAACATAGATAAGATACAGACATTCCTACCAACCATATTGGATTATAAAACATTTCTAATATAAAAAAATGAAAGTATGTGATATTAATTCATTCGAATACTATATATATATATAAAGACGTCTAAGACATGATTTCAATACTCTACCCACCATCGTGTCTTATGATACATGGTTAATACAGAATGTTTCATATACCTGTGATATTAACTTACCAAAATACCAATGATATAAGAGATCATCTTTCATACATGTGTGCAGACAATATACATACATACGAACATATATTAAACAATACAACACACACGTGTTAAAACAATACAACTTACCTGTATAAATTAAAATCCCAATGTATCCAAGACATCAGTTTTAACGTACACGAATATAAACCTGCACAGGTGTGTCGTGCTGTAGGTATACTGAACAACTATTACAGCGACACGATTGTGTACCTACTCCCCCACTCAACCATAGCGCTGTCCTACATACTAATATATTGGAACTCTCCACTGTCTCAGACACAGCATTACCGCTCGATACAGTCATACAACACTTTCTACCACAGTATGATATTGGACATTTTACAAGTGTTGTTTATATAATATTTACTGTGTAACCTCGATTTGTTACATCGGCAGAAACAACAGAACAGCTTGAATATAGAACTCCAAGAACACGTTCGACTTCGTATTGTTTATAGTGTAAACTTAACGACGATTGTACAAAAGACAAAAAAGGGAAAACACATCTAATACAAATTTAGAGTTAGATACAGTAGGGCGAAACAGTGAATTTAACTGAATCATTCATCTCTCCCGTCCTTCTAGCACTCATCAGTGATGCTAAGGGCCTAAATTTGGAAACTTTGAAAACCAACGAGGAAAGAAAGGCCAAAGTCAAGATGTGGAGGTGCACGAGCCCCACAATTCTAAAGAGCTTGTTATTTTCAAATAGCATTTAATGAACTAAAATCTGGTATAGCGCATACGACAAATCTCGGGCACTAATGGTCCACCAGTAGTGGCAAACTCGGGGACTAATAGTCCACCACCAGTGGCAACTCTCGGGGACTAATAGTCCACCAGTAATGGCAAACCACGGGGACTAATAGTCCACCACCAATGGCAAACTAGGGCACTGATAGTCCACCACCACTGACAAACTCGGGCACTGATAGTCCACCAGCAGTGGCAAACCTCGCGGACTAATAGTCCACCACCAGTGGCAAACCTCGCGGACTAATATTCCACCACCAGTGGCAAACCTCGCGGACTCATGGTCCACCAGCAGTGGCAAACCTCGGGGACTAATGGTCCACCAGCAGTGGCAAACTCGGGGACTAATAGTCCACCACCAGTGGCAAACCTCGCGGACTAATAGTCCACCACCAGTGGCAAACCTCGCGGACTAATGGTCCACCACCAGTGGCAAACCTCGCGGGCTAATGGTCCACCACCAGTGGCAAACCTCGCGGAATAATGGTCCACCAGTAGTGGCAAACCACGGGGACTAATGGTCCACCAGCAGTGGCAAACTCGGGGACTAATGGTCCACCACCAGTGGCAAACCTCGCGGGCTAATAGTCCACCAGCAGTGGTAAACCACGGGGACTAATAGTTCACCACCAGTGGCAAACCTCGCGGACTAATAGTCCACCAGCAGTGGCAAACCACGGGGACTAACAGTCCACCACCAGTGGCAAACCTCGCGGACTAATAGTCCATCACCAGTGGCAAACCTCGCGGACTAATAGTCCACCACCAGTGGCAAACCTCGGGGACTAATGGTCCATCACCAGTGGCAAACCTCGGGGACTAATGGTCCATAAGCAGTGTGTACCACCTGTAAATAACCTAAGGCCTCTTCGATCTAGGAACAACGATGTAAGACTGAAGTGCTCTCTGTTTCCTATAATTTATTTCGTAAATTATTTCACTTGCTTTTCACTTAAGATTCTTTTAATAAAACCCTGAAATTCATTACTTGACTTTGTTGTACCTAATTCTATTTGTATTGAACAGTGTCATTAAGTTATATATCGACATCCCAGATATTTTCGCTCTCTGCTCCCCTGAAATATTTCCTGGCAAACCAGAATGCACAAGCACATGTGGTACCCGTCATATCATCCTCCCTGTCACCACATATGGTGCCCGTCATATCATCCTCCCTGTCACCACATATAATACCCGTCATATCATCCTCCCTGTCACCACATGTGGTGCCCGTCATATCATCCTCCCTGTCACCACATGTGGTGCCCGTCATATCATCCTCCCTGTCACCACATATGGTGCCCGTCATATCATCCTCCCTGTCACCACATATGGTGCCCGTCATATCATCCTCCCTGTCACCACATATGGTGCCCGTCATATCATCCTCCCTGTCACGACATATGGTGCCCGTCATATCATCCTCCCTGTCACCACATATGCTGCCCGTCATATCATCCTCCCTGTCACCACATATGGTACCCGTCATATCATCCTCCCTGTTATCACATATGGTGCCCGTCATATCATCCTCCCTGTCACCACATATGGTACCCGTCATATCATCCTCCCTGTCACGACATGTGGTGCCCGTCATATCATCCTCCCTGTCACCACATATAGTACCCGTCATATCATCCTCCCTGTCACGACATGTTGTGCCCGTCATATCATCCTCCCTGTCACCACATATGGTGCCCGTCATATCATCCTCCCTGTCACCACATGTGGTGCCCGTCATATCATCCTCCCTGTCAGCACATATGGTACCCGTCATATCATCCTCCCTGTCACCACATATGGTACCCGTCATATCATCCTCCCTGTCACCACATATGGCACCTGATATATCGTCCATTGTCACCAAATATGGTACATGTCATATCGTCTCCTGTCACCACATGTGGTACCTGTCATATCGTCTCCTGTCACCACATATGGTACATGTCATATCGTCTCCTGTCACCACATATTGTACATGTCATATCGTCTCCTGTCACTACATACACATGGTACATGTAATATCGTCTCCTGTCACCACATATGATACATGTCATATCATCCTCCCTGTCACCACATGTGGTGCCCGTCATATCGTCTCCTGTCACCACATGTGGTGCCCGTCATATCGTTTTCGTGATTGTATTTGATATTTATCATCCTTTTTTCCCGTTAAATTCCACATTATATCCAGGGTAAAGACACATGGATGTAAGACTGATAGTACTCTATTTTTTTATATATAATTGTCAAGATCTATCATTACTATATCCCCCCCCCCCCATAATTCTCCTTTCCACATACGTTATTGCACGATCTACCTTACCATTAGTATGACAGTACCGGTGTGTATTGACAGCCCGTAACTACTACAGACAGATCATAAATTATTCATGAAGTGATTTCCTAAGACTTGTCTCCTGTTCCAATGACTTTCCGGTCCCGTGTTATCGCAGCGAAACTCAAATGGAAAGGATTTTTATCCATTCTAATCAATATCGCATTATACTGTAGCATAAGTGTGCGACAAAGGTGAATTAAATTCTCTCCATCAAATGGAGTACTGGTTAGTAGTAATTGTAAGGTGTATACTGCTAACATCGCAATTTTCGTGAGCCATAATTTCTCTATCAACAGAGAAAAAATAGATGTACAGAGGAACTGTCCCACCTTGTTACTCATACACAATAGAAATAAATTACATATCAGTTGGGACATTTTTCGTTCTGGCGTTTCTCTTAATTATAAATTAACCTTACACTTCATGATAGGGTGAATATTCTTGCGTCTTTCCACAACAAATAATGAATTAAAATAAAAAAATAATTAGGAAAGAATTCAAGTGGAAGTGCCATCTTTTGCTTTGCAATAAATATCCTATAAACGGTTACCTATCTATAATCTATAGATTTAATTTTATAACACTGGTTTACTTACTGCCATGAATACATGAAAATGTAATGAAATATTAAGTCACAAAAAAACATATTGAACACCAGTATATGCCATTAAATTCTATTGTGTTTTTTTTCTGAGAATCTAATTTACGTTTTTTTCCTCCAGATTTATCAGCTGGTATAGGTCTGCACCTTTGTGTATACAATTGTAGCTTACTTAAAAACGTGATCGGCTATAAATCATAAAAGAAAATGATATATGGATTGTGCAAAGGTTTGATCAGAAAGAATATATGTAGACCAGAGTCATGAATGCTTGTCGTTTTGGTAAAGTGAAACATCTAATTGTATCTCATTATAAAACGAAACGAAATTAATTTCTCTTTGGTTATTGAACGAAACGAAATGTATTTGAACTCGGATGATGATAATGACTTTGTTGTACGTTGACAGTACATAAACAAAATATAAAATCATGTTGATTTTCACAAGGTCGACGAGGGAATAACGTAACGTCTGACGACCCATTAAAACACGTGTATCTATAGCTACAGGTGAGCGGATGACTGATTACAGGTAAAAACCTCACATTAATTGTATACCTTATAATAAGAAAGGCATGATTTGTATAGAGAAATCAATTATATATATTGGTAGAGCTTCTGATGTAGACAAGTTCAAACATTACACAAATTATAAAGTATGATTTACTGTGTAACGGCAGGAGAAACATTCATTTAAGATTTTCAATTAGGTGATACACAGTCAGTAGACAGTTCTAAGGACATACACGTGTCCGTCCTTATAATTTGTATAAAAGACACACAAGTGAGGAGCAAATTTCAATAATTTAGGGTTAGATAGAGTAGAACCAATTAATTAAACTGCGTTATTCAGCTGTTTCGTCCGTCTAGGACTCGTCAGTGATGCTACATCATATAGCTGTTTCGTCCGTCTAGGACTCGTCAGTGATGCTACATCATATAGCTGTTTCGTCCTTCTAGGACTCGTCAGTGATGCTACATCATATAGCTGTTTCGTCCTTCTAGGAGTCGTCGGTGATACTGCATCATGTAGATGTTTCGTCCTTCTAGGACTCGTCAGTGATGCTATATCATATAGCTGTTTCGTCCTTCTAGGACTCATCAGTGATACTACATCATATAGCTGTTTCGTACTTCTAGGACTCGTCAGTGATACTAAGACGTAAATATTTTGAAGCAAAAAAGGCAACTGGGGAAAATCCAAAGAGATCGAAAGGAAAGTCAAAATCTAGACGGGGAGGTGCATCAGCTGTAAGAATACCACTGACAGATTAAACGCTGCCTTTTTAAGAAGACGAAGACATGGGCAGACTCTGATCAATATGTAGGAGACACGGACAGAAGACACGGAAAGAATATGATCAATATGTAGGAGACATGGACAGACTCTGCTCAATATGTAAGAGACGTGGACAGACTCTGATCAATATGTAAGAGATATGGACAGACTCTGATCAATATGTAGGAGACATGGACAGACTCTGATCAATATGTAGGAGACATGGACAGACTCTGATCAATATGTAGGAGACATGGACAGACTCTGATCAATATGTAGGAGACATGGACAGACTCTGATCAATATGTAAGCGACATGGACAGACTGATCAATATGTAGGAGACATGGACAGACTCTGATCAATATATAGGAGACATGGACAGACTGATCAATATGTAGGAAACATTGACAGACTCTGATCAATATGTAGGAGACATGGACAGACTGATCAATATGTAGGAGACATGGACAGACTGATCAATATGTAGGAGACATGGACAGACTCTGATCAATATGTAGGAGACATGGGCAGACTGATCAATATGTAGGAAACATTGACAGACTCTGATCAATATGTAGGAGACATGGACAGACTGATCAATATGTAGGAGACATGGACAGACTGATCAATATGTAGGAAACATTGACAGACTCTGATCAATATGTAGGAGACATGGACAGACTGATCAATATGTAGGAGACATGGACAGACTCTGATCAATATATAGGAGACATGGACAGACTGATCAATATGTAGGAGACATGGACAGACTCTGATCAATATATAGGAGACATGGACAGACTGATCAATATGTAGGAGACATTGACAGACTCTGATCAATATGTAGGAGACATGGACAGACTCTGATCAATATGTAGGAGACATGGACAGACTGATCAATATGTAGGAGACATGGACAGACTCTGATCAATATGTAGGAGACCAATTACGGATTATAGTCCGTTTTTAAAGACATATGACAAACAGTGGCCTGACTGTAACGACGTATGTATAGACGTAGGACAATTTCTGATCCGTATGTGCAGACGTAGGACAGTCTGATCCGTATGTGCAGACGTAGGACAGACTGATCCGTATGTGCAGACTTAGGACAGTCTGATCCGTATGTGCAGACGTAGGACAGTCTGATCCGTATGTGCAGACGTAAGGCAGTCTGATCCGTATGTGCAGACGTGGGACAGACTGACCGTATGTGCAGACGTGGGACATACTGATCCGTATGTGCAGACGTGGGACAGACTGATCCGTATGTACAGACGTAGGACAGTCTGTTCCGTATGTGCAGACGTAGGACAGTCTGATCCGTATGTGCAGACGTGGGACAGACTGATCCGTATGTGCAGGCGTAGAAGTAGGGCAGCATTTTATCCGTATGTTAAGCGGTAGGATAGTCCTGGTCCATATGTAAAGACGTAGGACAGACTTTCATCCGTATGTCAAATTTAACCAGAAGCACCTTATGATAGGTAGGTCTACTGTGTTTTACCCTTTGTTTTCAAATCTAGTTAAACCTGTATGATGCCGTTTGAATAATAATTTGACTCTACATCAGATTCTAAAGTGTTGAAAGGGGCTATTGTTTTGCGTTTTATATATAACCTTGTAAACAATTATTCATTTAGCTTAGTTATAGAGAAATGTACGGGTGTACTTTTGAGAAGAAATGACACGCCAATATTTTTAATCCTTACTTTAAATAGTTATTATTAAGATTCAAAATGTTGATTTTGGAAAGTAAAATTTAGACCGCGTGATTTGGAAGTATTTACTTAATAAGCGTACTTATAAAATGAATTATGACAAAGTAACACAGATTTATTTTCAATATTTACTTATCGAAATGAAATCAAATACTGATATTTTAGGGGTCAATACAATTTGTGCTTGAATTTTATCATTTGAAAATACTTTTGATGTTAATATCAAATTAATATATTTAAATATTCTTGACATTTAAAAGTTATTTTCTAACAGTGTAAAAATTTATTATTGTCTTAAAATTATTTTCAAAAACTCTATGTATATATGATTTCGATTTTAAAACAGATTAAAACATGATTTATTTTCCTGTCAAAAATCCCAACCATGCATACAATTTTGCATTGAAATGCGAACTGGAATAAAGAAAAATATTTTCTAATTTCAAATTGACGTTCCACATATACTTAGCCCTCCTGTAGTAGTCATGTAGTTTACACAATGATATTTTGGGCACCTTTCTAAATGATAGTGGGAGGTATATATTTGTCATGTTTTTATTCCCCTTTGATGGCACTTTGAATTTACTTAGAAGTGTTTATTTTATAAGATAATTAAAATTGAGGTTTTTACCTGGTATTGATTTTGAAATATTCCTCAAGTAGGTCTGTTTGTTTGAATAGTAAACATACATTCAATTACACTAAGCGCTCTCTGTTCTCTGACACCAGTATACTGAGCTTCTCAAGCTAGTTTGTGAAACGCAAACTTTAAAGAAATGTATCTTTCTCAAATATTTTATTTTTTCTTTCTTGATGCAACCTTTATTGAACATTAAAAAAAACACACACAGAATTAGCATACAATGTATACTGTTAATGTAACTACCCAAAGCACCTGTTGTCTCCCACTTTAAGG